TATCAGCCTGAAGGGATGGATCAGGGACGGGTGCGCGCCACTTCCCAGATGTTGCGTTGTGATCGCACCTGTTTGCTGCGCCCCTGATCCGTCCTTCTTCCGGGTCAAAACCTCCAGTGTGACCGGGGCCATCTGCATCTATCATCACCCTTGTAGTCAGTAAAGCCAATGAATCCTGGAAGGAAAAGCTATAGTCTCTGCCACAATCTCTCCATACATAGACCTGCCCATTTGCCAGCATGTTCAGGCAATGCATGAACACAGTAGATAAGCATAGCCCCAGAATATGAGAAAGCTCACATGAACAGGATCTGTGCAAATATATCAGAAATCTCTCCCAAATGACTAAGATGGCACAATGATTGGTCAGAAATGAAAATGCTGAGCACATGCCTATTAGGACAATCCTGTTTGGCTAGATTATTGGTTAATTCTTCTGGTTGGATGGATGAGACATACTACTAGGCACATACTTTCTGTATCACTGTCTTCAATCAGTGTGCCTCCCATCTCCTGCTGCATGGGGGAAATGAAACCAAACAGCAAGGTGAAAGGAAAACTGTCAGACTGAAAATTTCCCAGCTGTTCACAAATGCTAAAAATAATTATATTCAGATTGAGAGAATAACAGTATTAGAGAATGGGTATAGGTCAAGGTGGATCTTCAGCTTTTATTTTCTGAATGCAAATCCATATTACACAATAAGATACTTTCCCATAATCCAGTTATTTGGAGTGTCCTCTTACCCAGGTACATAGTATTCCTTTCACCAATGCAACTGCATTTTATTACCTAATGTGATTACTTTTTAGTTGTGTTCATGGAGACAGAACACGAAGCTTTCCCAGAAATTGTCTACCTGAGCCTCCCACTCTTCTAAGTAGGAAGAGTTCTTTTTAAAAAAACAGAACAGGAAAGGGTTTTGCAAACACAGTAGATCTTCTTTGAGAATGTTCTTCATTTCTAAGTCATTCATTAAAGACAACTTTTTAAAGGATACCATCCAAAGTTCTCAGATAAGTGACCATCTGTTCGAGAGGAAAAAAAGAACTACCTTATACAGATACAGCAGAACACGGTAGTAAGTTAGGAGTACACACTTAATTTGTGGGGCATTTTGATATGAATGCATTCGTCTCTCTTAAAAGATTAACAAACTCCTTTCCCCTCTTCTCTATACACCATCTTTAATGTACAGTGTGAATTGGTTACTCCCAACACATTTCTATTTATAAGTGACTGGCAGCTCTAGAGAAAATACTGAATGCTTCAGCAAGGAATGCTTTCCTTCATGACTTTCACCTACCTTTCAAAGGCAGAAAGCTCAACAGGAAGGAAGGGAAAAGGCTTTCCTCAGTTCCTTCTAAATTACCACAGAATTCACTTCACTGAATTATATTCACCAGTCTCTTTAGATGGCCTATATGGAAAAACTAGGAAGTAGCTCTACCCACTAAATACTGAAACACATTTTTTTGGCATCTGTAACTTTTAATACAATCCTCCAACAAACAAGTGGCATTACTTTCCAGTTGTTCAGAAGGTGATTCACTAATGGCACAATCTTTTTTTTTTTAATAATTTTTATTGAGATTTAACAGAAATAAAAAGCACAGACATACAACAAACACGACACCCACCCCAATCCAATTTATAGTTCCACTTCTACACTACCTTAACCCATTACATCTTTTGTCACTGATCTCCAATTTATCAACAGCAGATCAAATTAACCCATTAATCTATATTTATTTCCTAACCGCTTAATTCTAAATAAAGTATATACATTATAAACTTTCACCCTGTTGGAATCTAGTCGCACAAATGTGGGGTTTTTTTTTCTTCCAAGGAACAGAACTGTATCCCCTTTGCAAATGCAGCTGATTTGACAATTCCTTGCCCTGATCTGACTGCACTTAGTTAACACATTGGGACAGAATGTGGAGAGGAATGTGGGACAATGTGGAGGCTCATCTGGATGCACATTCCCCTCCACATCCTGTCCAAACTAGTTAGGCACAACTAGAACTGGATCAAAGTAAAAAGCCATGTTGCACAGCTCTAGTGGGCAATGAAACCACCAGCTCAGCATGGGAATGTAGGGAGCATCAACACAGTTATGTTAGCAATGTCAGTGGATTCCCTTTCCCCTCCTTTCATAGTGATAGAGCCAAGTCTGATTGGATATGTGGTGTTCTGATGTCATCATTCACAGCATGAGCCTTAATTAGCTGAAATCATACCATGAGGAAGCCTTTCAAGTGACACAAATTTAGCCAAAGTAGCAAAAGATAAAGGATACAATGCTGCAAATGCTTGAAAAAGAAAAATAACACAGGCCCCTGCCACACGGCAGGGAAAACACGAGGCGAAGCGCGGCTAAAGAGAGCCGCATCAAAAAAGATACGCGCGGGCGGGATCCCACAGATCCCGTGCACCGCGCGCCGTTGCTCCCCGGCACGATCACATGCCGGGGAGGAAGTGTCGGAGGCAAGGGGGAGGCCGCCGAACTGCGCATGCTTGAGCCCGAGGCCGGGATGTGCCGCTGCAAGGACACGCGGCCGATCCCACGGCCGGTTTGAGCCGCTCCACTTCGCATGAACCACCCAGGTAGATGGTTCTTTTTAGAGCGGGTTTTCGCGTGGAAGAGACAGGTCGGGGATGGACAGGCAACGATTCCCAGATGTTGCCGTGGGATCACGCCCGTTTGATCCGCCCCCGTTCTGTCTCGCTCCCGGACCAAAACCCCTCGTATGAACGGGGCCACAGTTGAATTTTGGGCATTTTTTCACAAACATTTCTATAATTCACTGAAACAGCAGCTTTCACAGGAATAATTGAACATCAAGAAAAGTTGGTGCAAAACTAGCATACATGTGTTTGGCAAGTAATACCATGGTTCCATTGCTCACAGGTGTTTGCATGACACATGCGAATGAGATAATTTATGCATGCAGTGTACATGCTAAACCCATACAATGTAGAGTAGCCTTCACCCTCAGGTCAGTGGCCCAATTTTAAAGCTCTGCCTTTATTAGGCTGATTTGTGCTCTGTGCATACAATGGGAGAGGAAGAATCCCCACTAAATGAGCAGAACAAGACTCAACTAGCTAAAAAGGCCCTGGGTGCCTCCAAATGCCTACCATTTCTAAACAGTACTTGTTATTAGGGGGCAGTGAGCCTTTCTGAAAAATATTCACAAGCATTAGATAGCTCCTTTTCAGTGAACGTCTCATTATGTATGCAATCCCCATGCCTTGGTGTGATTTTTTCTCTCTTTAAACTATTTTTTTTTTTGTATATTTTTATTGATTTTCAGTATATAACAAAAATAGCATTTCATATTTCCATTTTTTACAATATTTTTGAGCTTTTTATCCATACATTTCTAGCCAATTATCTACTTTTTGCCATCTTTCCTTAAACACACTGTCCATTTTTCCCGCTAAGAACATATTTGTTTTGTCCATTTCTTTTATATCTAAGATGTTTGTGATTAATTCTTCTCTGTTTGGGATTTTTTCTGATTTCCAACGTTTTGCTATCGCAATTGAGAAGGCAGCAGCTCAGCAAGGGAGAAGCAGGAAGGAACACGGGCCTGATTCTATGCAGCATTTCTATCATCAATCCATTCCACTCCAAATAAGAATGGGTATGAATTTCTGAGGCCAGATTGGCCTGTATTCTTTGACTCTTTAGCTAGAGTCACATTCCATCTGTCGTTTGATATGGATAGTAGTGATGGAACCTGATGGTTCCATTTTTAATAGCTATATTTTCCCCAAGGTAAGATGCTTGTCTTTTCTACCACTTTTTTTTTTGGTAAACATCACTCAGTAATGCAATGCTGAACCTCACATCCAAAAATGAACTTTGAGTCTTCCTTGGACTTTGTCTAATCTAGTGCAAAATGTGCTTGACAAAGGTATTTGCCGTGATGATGTCTTGTGCAGCCTTTACAGTGGCCTAAGATAAGCAAGCAGGGCTGTTAATATTTAGTCTGGCCTTTTCCCAGCAAAGATGCCCTTGTGTTTGATGATACCGGGCCCTAGATGGAAATTGCTCATCGCGTCTACACTAATCAACATTTATGAATGTGAATATTTGGCATGCAATTGACAACCTATATGTTATAATTGTATTAAATAATATATCCTCTGTCTTTTTATGAGCAAGCCTGATTGCACAGTTTGGGGATGAAAGGCAGGATATTAGTTTTACTAATAAAAATTATACATGGAAATTGTAATTGAAAAATATATCAGCGAAGTTATGCATTCCATTCTTTTTATGTTCCACAGTGTTCTCCATAAAAAGGAAATTGTTAGTTAATAATATTAATGGAACCTTTGACTTGCTAATTTTTGTGTTTAAAGTTAATATGAAAATTGAAACAAATTTCCGATCATTTGGTTTGTAAGTCATTATTTTGACATGGTCTATACGATTTACAGTCCTAGGCCTATTCTGTAGTCTAAACCTATTGTATAGGAATGTACTCCTACAAAACCATCCTAAGCAGAATTACAGTTCTGTTGACATCAATGATCTTAGAAGAGCATATTTCTGCTTAGGATAGCACTGCCAGATTCTCAGATACAAGCATACTGTTGCCTCTTATCCATGAAAACAAAGTCAAATGCTGAAAAAAGTACAACTTGGTTTCTCTGAGCTCTCCAAGTAAAATAAATACTGGATGACAAATTGACAAGGAAATCAATAGATTTAATGGTGGCAAACACAGTATGTTGCAATAAGAGGAAGATGCATTCACAATTTCAGGGTGATGATTCTAAATTAATTCTAATGTAGACAACTTTGTAACAATATTGCTTTGATTGCTCACTGTGCTCCCAAAGCAATGTGCTAGTACAAAGCAAGTACCTTTGAACAGAGATGAAGGTAGAGAACAATGTTTGCCATTTTACAAGCCAGAATTACAGTCCTCAACTGAATTCTCTATTTCAATTATAATAGCACAAGTCAATAATTACTTACAGTTCTTTGCATGAGTAGCGGTGTTTCAGAGCAACACATTCCTTCATCATTAAAACTTGACTCCATATTAATTATGTCATCAATAACATCATCCATCTAATAAAACAATAGTTTTGAATGAAGTGGTTAGCAGTGGAGTATATACTATAAATAGTTGGTCATGGTTAAATTGAAAATAATCCATGACAAGTAAATGATAGTGACAAGCTCTTTTGTTAAAAGACAGTTTAGGGTACACGGTGCACTCTTTTTCTGAACTTTATTTGTTCCAGTCCTTTAAGCTACTTTGATGAAAGACCGCCTTGGAATAAAATGTAAGCTCTTCCATTTTACATAATAAATCAGTTGGGTCTGTTCAGTGGGGTCAAAACTGTACATTGGTTTTTGGAACATTTTCAACTGCATTAAAAGTGCCCTCTCCTTTTCACATTTTTTAAAGATGTAAACAGTCTTTATTGCTGTAAACTTCTTTATTGCTGCCTCTTTCTTTATTACTTCTCTCTCGTTTTCATTTGACTTTGTTTGCTGGCAGCCTAATCTGGCTACATAATATATTGATGATTGCATATATGTAAGCCTCCCTGAGCCTGCCTTGGCAGGGAGGGTGGGATATAAATCGAATAAAATAAATATATTAAATAAATAAATACTGATCCCCGACCACCCACAGGTCCCTCACTCTCATTTTTTTTTTGCCATCAAATAAATCATCACATAGCCAAATCTGATTGGTTATACGGCATCGTGATGTCAATTCATATGTGATGCATGACTGGCTGGGATCGTATACAGGAGTAATTAAGGAAAATGAAAGGATCAACAACTAAGAAAAATGCACAACAAACAGAGAAAATAATGGCACCAAAGGGATTAACAAATCTGCACTGTGCATTCACCGAATTCCTTATTGACTTGTGGAGAGACTTTCTCTACCAAGATATGTTACAGCAACAAACCATACCACATTTTCATGTTCTCCTCCAAGGGCTAGTAACTTGGTTGTTGGACTTCCAGGAGTGCTGATGTCACTGGCAGGCGGCATCTGCCCACTCCTTAATATGGGTGCTGCTCCTGAAGAACTGACTGAATGAGAATGAGACAGTGATAGAGTTTGGGTGGGCAGTTTGGTATCCAGAGTCAAGTACTGTTTGACTTGTTGCCTTGGCGTTTGTTGAATGTGATACTTGGATGGGTTTTCAAAGTGTGTCTGGACCTATAAAGACAAGATAATCAACAGCTGTTTCTCTTCGATACGACTGGTGATTTTTGATAACATAATTCTGACAGTATAACTGATAGCATGGTTTTCCAGCTGTACTTCAAGTTAAAATGTGTCCCACCAAATATTATTATTCAAATAAAGGTAAAGGTAAAAGTTCCCTTGCTCGAAAGCCAGTCGAATCCGACTCTAGGGTTGCAGTGCTCATCTCCGTTTCAAAGCCGAAGAGCCAGCGCTGTCTGAAGACGTTTCCATGGTCATGTGGCCAGCATGACTAAACACCAAGGCACACGGAACGCTGTTACCCTCCCACCGAAGTGGTACCTATTTATCTACTTGCAATTTCTTGCTTTCAAACTGCTAGGTTGGCAGGAGCTGGAACTAGAGATGGGAGTTCACTCCGTCATGTGGCAACCCGGGTCTTGAACTGCTGAACTACCAACCTTCCACAGCCTGCTGGACTGTGGCTTTTCAGTCTCCATCTCATCAAATCAGCACTACTACATTTGTAAGTAAACAGAATTTTGAATGTCCTTGTTTTTCTGTACCTGAAATTGATTGTTTATTTTACAAACTTATTCTACCAACAGAAATAAAAAAGAGCAGAGACAGACATTACCCTAGCATATTCCTATTTAAAACCACATTTTAGTTGAAACCTATGCATAAATTACAGTATACATACATAGACAACAAGCATTAAAGCAGATTGGTCTCATCATACAGGCACTTATTATAAAATAACTGAATTATTGCTTTTGAACAGAAACACATGAAAGCATTTTTAAAGCTGCTATTCAAATCAATCTTCGTTTTTGCTAGCTCACCTGGCAGTAAGAGCGATCTGTCAAATGAGGCATTTTCTTGCTATCATACAAATAACACTCCAGAAATGCTGTCCTAGCTGATTACTGATCAACCCCAAGCAATGCAATAATCTCAGCAACCCTTTTAAGGACTAGTAAGGGTTTAGAGAAGCCAGTGAGATTTTATAAATTAAGTGGTCATGCCAAAAAACAGCTAATTGGGTAAACCTAGGTCATCCTTTTTGATTGCACAGACTGACAGCTACTACTTCAAACAACTCCCATCAAGATCCATGAAACATTTCTGCAATTTATCTACTCCAGGGACGTTGAGTACACAAGTCTGCTCTGTCCCATTCACCCGCTGGCTGTCTTGGCATGGTCTAGTATGACTAATGCCAAATTTCTCCTAATTGATTTTGTTCAAGCGATCCTTAAGATGTAAACAATAGGAGAACTTTGGTCATATCCTTCAGTTTTTAAAATTCCACTTAATATCAGACATCCTTTAACAAAATGAGCACTTATGTTAGCAACATTTTGGTTCATTCTGTAACATCTTAATATTAATTGAATTTTACTAATGCTTTTTTCACTTAGAACACAATCCAGCCAGAATTAAATGCTTTAACATTACAATGGTTCCATGGACAAATCCACGAGAGCCAGTGTGATGTAACACACTTTCAGACTAGAACTGGGAGGCCCAGATTTGAATCCCCCCAGTAGCATGGACTCACTATATGGCTTTGGGCTAGTCACTCTGTCTCAGCCTAACCTACCTCACAGGGTTGTGGTTCTAAGTATAAAATGGAGGAGGCAGAATTGATATTGTAAGCTGCTTTTGGTCCCTATTAGCTAAAAACAAAATGCAAAAACCTTTAAAATTCCAATTCTAAAACAGTCCAGCTGATTCCAATGGCATAATCTGTGTCAAGCACATAGGACTGGGATGATTACAACCGTACCTCCAGCCCTTATCCATACTTGAACTGTGTCCCTTCAGCTGCATCAATATCATTACCATCCTGTGCTGGAAACTTTCTTTTCTTCAACTGCTATCCTGGTGTAAGTAGGTACTACCAATAAACCCATAAAGCTGCTAGATGCCACTCCATGATATCTGAAATGCTTCCAAGAATGTTGCATAAGGAAACCACTTCAGCTTCTTCCTCTGCCCAGTCCTTGTTTTGTAAATTCTCCACCACAAAAGGAAAATCAAAAGGGTTTGCAAGGCTTGCCCAAAATCACATAGGACGCAATGCAGCCAAAATTAGTGCTTTAACATTACAATGATTTCAAGAAAAAGCATGGTCTTGAATCAATGAGATTAAAATAAAATGCATCTCATGAGACTTTTGTAACTGAGTCCACAATTTGAACTCAAGCATCTAATTCTTCAAGCACACTGTATTTATCAGATTATAAAAACCATAATTTTAATGCAATTATCAAAATAGGACAAAAAAGTACATGTTATGGAGGAACCCGGTCTTTGTCTCTTGGGTGCTTATCTTGACTATGTCGCAAATTTCTGGCAAGCTTTTGCAGCTGTCTCCTGTCCTAATTCTTTTCTGTTGCACTTTTGCTCATTGTTTCTTAAACTATTACATTTAGGGATGAGCACAAACTGCATTTTTATGGTTTGATTCATGGTTTGAGGTTAAATCACGAACCAAAACATAAACCCATACGAACCAACAGAATAATCACTTAGCTGTTTGGTTTAAATGGCTCCAAGCCATTTAAACTCTGTTTTCTGCTCCCCCACGGGGTGGGGCCTCATGAAGATGGACCCCTGTCTCCACTGGGGGAGCTGGCACCCCTAGGTTTGACTCTTTGTCCAAAGAGACAGTTTTGACTGTGATCAAAGCTCAAAAGCTGTCTGGTTAAATTTGAACATTGCCATTTTAATTTTGTTTCTCCCTGGAAATGTTTCCTCATGCTTAATTTTCCCATTACAGTTCAAGTATTTTTTTTAAGCCCCCGGAGGGGATTTTTTATTGATTTTTAAAACACTAAAAAAACTAGAACAGAAAAAAGGGAAAGGGAAAGCTACATATAAGGGAAAAAGTAAAGAACCCACTACTAACTAAAAACCCAAGAGAGGAGATCTCCAACTAGCTTTTTATACTTCATTCAGACTTTTCATCTTTGTACTTCTTATGAACTGTGTCGATCTTTTAACCCTTTTAACCATCCCCAGTTACATTTAATTGCCCAATAACAGTGCCCCCCATCATCCCCTAGAACCAAAGTTCTCAAAGGCACAATTCAGAGTCGTTTAGCCTTTACTTCTTCTTCCGCAGTTTGTAGGAACTTTTCGGGGCTGATGCCCCCTGCTCAGACAAAAAGTTCCAGTTTCCAGCTCTCCACTGGACTTATCATCCCCTTCTTTTTCCTCGTCCTCTGGCCTTCCCAGCTGCTCCTTTAGAAACTCTTGAGCTTTAAGAACAGAGTCAATCTTGACCTTCTTCTCCTTGATCTTCAATATTACTCCTTCTGGAAACAGCCATTTATATCCAATTGAGTTTGTTTGGAGGAAAAACACAAGTTCCTTGTATTTCTTTCTGCGTTGTCTTACTTCAAATGGAATATCCTTTAGCGTTCTGACAGCATTCTCCCCCACCTTCAGGGGTGTCGCAGCAACTGCTTTCAGGATAGCATCCCTGACGTGCCTCTTCGAGAATCTTACTACAATTTCCCCAGGCAGATTATTTTACTTTATGTATCCTGAATATGATCTGTAGGCCACATCCATGTTAATCCATTATTTGCATTTGTTGAGCAGTAATGCTTGTTGTCACAACTTGCAGCTGCTTTTGTTCTGCAGTAATATTCGCTGTTACAACAGACATCTGTTCTTTAAAGACATTGAGCTTTTCCAGCAGAGGGCGCATGACCGCTGTCATCACCTTCGTCATCTCACTGGTCATTTCCGGGGACTCTAGTTTCGCTTTTAAAAGTTTCTCTTTGTCTCTGTCCCTCTTCCCCGCCATCTTTTTCTCGTTTGTTTGCTTTCGCAATAAATTTTAAAGTCTCTGAATATGCGCTTATCTGTATAGCTCGATGGATGAGTACTTCTGGGCAATTTCTTGTTTATTCTTCCACTCCCTCCCCTTTCGCTCAACGATTTATGGGCATGGGAGGCATCCCTCCCACCACTCGCTTCTGCCGTTTCGCTGCTTCGGGTAAGGAGTGTCTTTTCGTTTAAAAATCAGTTCTCATTTGACTCACGTTCATAGTTGGTCTTCCGACCCCTCTTCATTCATCATTTCAAACGCCTGATCTCCTGTGCTAGACCCAGCTAGCTTCATTTGTACCATCAGGTCTCTCAGCTGGACGGACCACTGGAGCAAGGGGGAGCCTCAATTCTCTGGCATTCGGCCAGAGAAGAGGCTACCCCCTCAAAGCTCCTTGGCCAGGTGCCCTTCCCCGGGCTACTGGGGGGGGTTATAAGCCTGCTCACCCCCTCCGTCCGCCAGAGCACGGAGACACCCCTGGGAGGTCCGGGAGGTGAGTCTGTGAGCGTGCCGCCATCAACCGGAAGCCACAGTTCAAGTATTTTTCAATGCTACTTTTTGCATTAAAGGTCTAAAACTGCTCAACAATGGCATGCATGTATCCAACTCTCCGTGGATGTTCTGGAGCAGCTTCTCCCTCCTGCTGCAGTTCATTAAGATTCCCCTGGTGTGTCAGAGGATCTTCAAGAATACATAAGGGGCAAAGTGGGAAATCAGCAGAAATCAATGCCCTTTTTTCCTGCAAATGTATGCAGGAAATACACCAGATGAAACTATTGAAAAAGATAAAACAACTGGGGTTTTTTTGTTTCTGTATGACAAAATACATTTACAGCTTGAAGAAATAACCTATATCGACAAGTATGTTCTATTGTGTTATTTTATAATTTGTACATGCAGATAAAGATCATTTATCTGCACTACTTGTCATCTTGTACTTTTACATTTTTTGCAGACATTACCCTTTGGTAATTTTATGTTTGTTTACCTTTATTATTCCATGATGGTTTGTTATCTGGTATTACATATTCCAGAGATGGTTTGGTGCTGGAAAGTGCCATCAAGTTGCAACCAACTTATGGCACCCCCTGTAGGGTTTCAGGGCAAAAGAGGAACAGAAGTGGTTTGCCATTGCCTGCCTCCTGGTAGCTTCCTTGGTGGTCTT